TCATTAGTTATTCTAGGCCTATATACCCTGTCTCTTATACACATCTAGATGTGTATAAGAGACAGGATCAGGCCAACAAGCGCAGTGTCATCTGCGTACTTGACCGCCATGCAGGATTCAGACACAGGGCAACAATCATTGGTGTAGAGGATGTACAGCAATGGCGAAAGGACACACCCTTGAGGGGAGCCTGTGTTATTATAAAGAACAGATGATATATGTTGATTGATTTTAACTTGTTGAGGTCTATTGGAAAGAAAATGTTTAATCCAGAGAATTAAAAAAGGGTTAACAGAGAGTTTGTGTAGTTTAGATAAGAGAAGATGAGATTGAAGAGTGTTAAAAGCAGAGGAAAAATCAATAAAAAGTAGGCGGGAGTATGTGCCCTTTGAGTCAAGATGTTTATGGATTGAGTGAAAAAGTGTTGCTGTAGCATCCTCCACACCACGATGCGCCCTGTATGCGAACTGCATGGGGTCAAGTTTATTTTCAACAACAGGTTTAATCAAGCTAGCAATGAACTTTTCTAGACACTTCATAACTAATGATATCAATGCTATTGGTCGAAAGTCGTTAAGCACTTTCACAGGAATCAGTTTAGGAACAGGTACAATTAGAGTATGTTTCCAGATGGAGGGAACAACTGAAAAATTTAGAGAGTATTGAAAAATATGTTGAAATATATAAGCTAATTGCGATGCGCATTCCCTCATAAGTTTACCACTAAGTTTATCGATACCTGCAGCCTTTCTTGAATTGGTTTTACGAAAAAGTTTCATTACCTCATTGGCAGATATATTAACATTATCCTTTAATACAAGGCCATTACAAAAATCTTTTGACTTATCTTCAAAGTTCATGGTATCAAATCTAGTGTAAAATTTATTAAGGGAATCAGCAAGGCTTTTGTCATTAAATCCAGGAAGCATCTGGAATGAAGCTTTCTTATTGTTGGAACCGGTGATCATTTTAATCATTAGTTATTCTAGGCCTATATACCTTTGTATAATTTTTATTAATATCATTTTAATATTATTTTTATTAATGCGGTTTTAATTATTGTAAGTGCATGTAAATGAAAAGAAATAACAAAGGCAACGATTTAAAAACACTTTAATTTTGGCTTTGCATTTAAATCTCTTGGTAAATATTCAATAAATACCGTACACAGTAAATTGGGACCGAGTTGACATGGGGCCGAGTTGACTCGAATTCGTCATGACATAGGCCTAGGTTAAATAATTATCCAAAACCGCGGCCAAATAAAAAATAAAAATTTTCACAGTATGTAACTCGAATTCAAATAGGGCCTAACACTTTTTATTATTCGTGCAGCGAAATCAAATAATACATATGTCGTTTTAAACGTTTTAGCATAGCAATGTGTTTTTTTTTTCAAAATCAGACAGCGAGCAGAGCAATCCTGTATCTCAGAAGTTTTGTAGACGTTATCTTTGGTTCATGACCTTTTGACCTCCAGAATTGAGATTATTGGGTCGAGTCAGTCGAGATAACCCGAGTGGAGTTTCATGCAAATGTTTCGTACGGAAAAAAAATCTGCGCAGCGCGATAGAAGTACGCCCGCTATAAACTCAGTAAGCAGAAAACAAAGATCTTATAAACATTTATAAGATCTTTGGCAGAAAACAAAGGTACAGTATCTTGTGGAGAACAGATAAACAGACAAACCGACCGTGCGCGGTGGAGTACTGGGTAATAAAAAACATACAAGCGTTAGTTGGCGTCCTACACTAGCTGCGAAGGGCGTATCGTTTTTTACGCTCTCAATGAGCGTTGTTGGCTCTCTTGTTCTATTTATACTCTTTGTTATGATGCAATTATTGTGTATGGAACGCCGTTACTGCCTTTGGTAGCTATTTTTCGTTCGGCCATTTACTATTTGTCCCTTCCATCATTCCGTATGGCTCTTTTACCATTACGTTCGGCTCTTTTATCATTACGTACGGCTCTTTTATCACTACATACGGCTTTTTTTTAAATCTTTATGTACATCTTTTTTATCATTACGAACTGCTCTTTTATCATTTGCAGGGGCGGATACAGGATTTAGCATAAAGGCTGTCTCTTATACACATCTAGATGTGTATAAGAGACAGACTCTATCTTGTGTTTATAGTATCATTGATAAAAGTCACGAGCATCCATTTCTTAACCGTTTGATCTATCCATTGTTCAGTGTTTCACTTTTGACTTTTCGTATGCTTAGTACTCGGCTTTGTCAATATTTTTGTAAGTTTTTCATATTTGCCAAGGACTCCAACAAAGCATGGAGATACTAGTCTAAGTTACCTTTAATATATTTTGGAAATGGAAATACATAAATCTATTTTACTTACATTATTGAGCCCATCTTTACAAAAACTACATTATATCAGTACCGATAATGTTGTATTTCCGTACTGGCGAATGTCCTTTTTCTTTCGCAGCTCTGAAACTTTGTAATTCTCTTGCACCCAAACTTGGATTAACTTCGATACTGGTGCATTCAATATCCGCTTTAAAACTTACGTCTTTAATCAGTAATTGTTATAATGACAAATACCATTTATTCTAATTGATGCTATACAAATTCTCCAATATTATCATTATCAATGTATCAATCTTAGTACTGTACCATCGTTGGAAAATAGTCGTTTAAGTTATCCGAGAAGAGAATCAAATTTTCCCAACCAGTTCCAACTTACAACTTTTACTGCTAACACTCGAAATCAAACAGTAAAAACCGCAATACTAATAAATAATCAGATATAAAAACATCGGTTTCAATATATTGTGGAATATGTTCCTTTGGATAAAACTAATTTGTCATTAATCTGTCGTAAAATAGCTTCTGTCTCTTATACACATCTAGATGTGTATAAGAGACAGATCTACGAGCGAAAAGAGCAGCCTTAGGCTGGGGGCCAGGGGGCGCCCAGGGTCCCCGGCGGGGTCCAGGGGCAGAGCCCCTGGTGGGGAGCCCAGCACATTTGAGGAATATGAGGTTGTATTGAGTCGATTTTGACTATCTAGCATGGTAGTTTTCAGTAACAAATAAATTTAAAAAAAATAATAGGTGTATGTCTTTTAAAAGAAATTTTAATATACAGGGTACCTGCAAAATGCAACTATGACATGTGTCATTAAATTTGTAATAATTCATCTACTCACAACATAATCTTTGACAACATACAAAGGCTCATAAATGTACACCATTTCAAAAGAGAAATTTCACTTCTAGAAAACATGAGGAAGTTTCTCAGCAACATTGAACATAAAAATCACAAATTCAGCAAAAAGGAAAACTAATATCCAAAAAAGCCGCCGAACAACAAAATCGGCTACTGTATATTAACACTGAGTAAATTAGAAGTGTTCTATTTCTCACCAAGTGGATTTATGAATAGCACTCTCCTAGGGTGTTTTTGGTAGGAAAAGAAGATTTAAACACTGTGGGTGTAATTTTTTCTTTGCAAAAAAATAGAGGAGGAGGGGGCATGTGCGCCAACTCCACCTAAATCCGCCACTGCAAATAGGCCTAGGCCCTAGGTTTAGGTAGGCCTACTTTGTTTCATGTCAGGCACGTAACAGGGGTCTTGGGGGGGGGGGGCAAAGGTAATAATTTTCCCGGTTAGTAATTTATCATACCCACCACCCCCCACCCCATATAGAAAACAATACGACATAGGGCTTATTTTATTTATAATATAGGCCACACACGTATGTTTGAAACTAAATATAAGCATTTTCCATTTAATTATGATTTTATTTATTACAAACATATTCTTTTACCATCAATACACATTGAGGCCCTTCTTTAGGTTAAAACGATCTATCTTAAATTTGTCTTTCTTGAGTTTGGGACTATTATGTGTTTAAATAAATTAAAAGGATAAACCTCAAAAAGTCCTAAAAAATATTTTTGTGTTTTTAGTTCTAATTTAGTCGGATTTGATGAAAACTCCCTAAAATGTGCAATTTATAGAGGAAATTGGCCTACCGTAACAAGAAATGCGCGCAAAGAATTTGAGAATTTTAGGCACTTTCAGAGGATGCATTTGTCAAGGGGTGGGGAAA